TTGAACTCAAATAAGTTATCATGGAAATATTGAGAGAGGTGTGGGATGGGGTGGAAAACATGGAAATATCCATATCTTAGAGAAACCATATTATGACCCTGCAAACCAACTCAGACTCCAGGAAGGAAGGGAAATTGTAGTTTAGTGTCTTTGCAGTATTCAAAATGGCTGTACACATGGCCAGAAGGAAAAAATTCCAAAGTAACGAGGAATGAAAATGGAATTCTGCAGAGATTTGCTTTTTCACTCAGTGTTTATGGTGGTAATAGTGATAGAAGAACTGCAAAGGATTTAGATTAATGGGGTATTAGTTTAGGAGTTCCTGCCCAGTTTACATACCTCTAAGTTCCAAATGCATTGCAAAAAATTATCTACATTTTTGTGTCTGCAAAATCTGGGCTAGCTTCTTCCTTAGGAGAGACTATTTGATAATAGATCTTGTGATTCCTTTTCTGGAAACTAGACCTGCAGTTGAGTTTAAAAGGATTGGGAATGAGAGTGTGCATGAGACAAAACTATGCAGGAAAAGATGTAACATATCTTTCTGTATAGCCAAGTTACAAAATATAGCAATATGCAGTAGCCAAATTGTTGAGCTGTTTATTAGGGAACTTGAGGAACAGGGATCTTGATCTCCTTGAAAAAAATTAAGGAAACTTGCTGTTTATTTTCCTGTATGTAAAAACCTCCCTGCTCTATCATGTCTGTTTACTCTAACACCATTTTCTTTTGTTTCCTTTGTGCGTATTCAGTCTTTCTGGTTCCCTTAATCCAGATTTCAGAGTCAGTACTTACAGCTGTTTATACTTGTTACCTAAAACTGATCCAAGGAATATTTCAGGTGAACTGGGCACAAATATTTGCATGGGAAGGTTTTTTATCAGTAAATGCTATTTCACTGAAAGCAAAATTTCTGCCAGAAGGTGTTAAATTTTTGTAAAGAACTGTGACCTCAAAAAAATTCTCTGAGATCAAAACTTTAGCATTTTTAAGATACATGGTTTCTTTGTTTTTGATATGACTTCTCATTTTAAAATCTATTTTCAATTTCATAGTGAAACATGTTTTTTAAAGTCACAATGGGGGGGAGGGACAGGATGGACGCAAGTATTCATACACATTCTGACTCAAAACAAATAAAATATGGCAATTTCTTGTGAAATGCACAGCTTGAGGTGGAACTTGCGGGAATCTTCTGTTCATCTGTTTTTGTCATATTCCCTTGGTTTAGGCAAGAAAGGTGTTGTGGTGATGAAGTTCATATCACCAGTGGTTTCAGAAGGAGAACCACTTGACTGAGGTCTGCCACCAAGAGCATGAACCTCATGCTGGACACATGGCTTTGTACCATGTAGGCTGTCTGTGCCTAGAACATAACATTGTATTGCAACCCAGATTACCCAGGGTAGGGAAAAATGTCTAGTCCCAGCTGGAGACACAGAACTGCATCCATATGTAAAAATACACAGTTTGGTTGATGCTGGGGAAGTTCTCAAAAACTGTCTCAATGTGATATAGGAAGTTGCAAAGATTTGTGGTGAGCTTTTCTTCAAACTTGTATGCTCACACCTTGGATGTATTGCTGCTGCCTTTGTCCAAGAGATTATCTTGCCTGTGTTTTAAATTGCCTGAAAATTGAAGAAACGAATGATTGCTTCAGATTTGGTCAAAATGCTGAGCTAATTAATCTTCTAAGTTGTGTTATACTTGTGCTTCCTACAAAGAAAATTAGGGTAAAATTATTAACATAAACTTCTCAAATGTCTGAACATTCACCTCCCGTTTAAAATCTGATGCCCTTTTCTCTTTAGAGTTTAGTGTTTAGACTATGGCATCAGTAACTTGTAACATTGGAATTAGAAAATACATTAGTAACCTCCCATTTTAAGTAATTGTAGCACCCTACTTATAAAATGTAATTACATTTTGGTGGGGACTATCTTGAGTCAGGCCATGCATGCACCTAGTTTTTGACAAGGTTGTCTATGTGAACTTCAGGTAATAATAACACAGAGCATCAAGCACAGGCTGTGGAAAAAAAACACCAGTGTTGTGGGATGTTATCCTAATTTTGTTGGTCAATGTTACCCAAACCTTTCTGGAAGGAAGTCTGTGAAAAGGCTGACATTGAACCTTTGTCTTCATTTTGTTGATCGGCAGTGTTCCTTGTGCATAGGGAAATCTATAGAGGTCTTTGTGTAGAAGCTTATCATACAGAACACCAAAGGGGTCTTAAGTAATCATTATGGTTCCTCGCTGAGATCCAATGTTCAGTAACACCTGGAATTTATCTGTATATGCTCTTCAAGAACTCTTCCCAGTGGGCTTCTACCCCTCTCCATCACTCTGCTAATGGATTAGGTTGGAAATAGTTAACGTTGGTATTCTCAAAGGTTGCCCAAAGGTTCATCAGTTAAGCTGAGTCACGAAAATGGTTTCCATTGCTTCAGCTTTTCTGTTGTGTTGTAGACTACAACTAGATGTAGCATGTTAAATGGAAATAAAAGCTAATTTTTGCAGCCATAAACATTAGAGAATTTCTTGCAAGCAAAACCTCAAATTTCATGATGCCTCTCACATGCTCCATCATTAAGGGACATATCTGACACTACTGAAAAAACAGAGAGCAGCTGTGCTCCTGAACATACTAATTTTCTGTGCCACTGTAGCCAGGACTGTGGTAGATTTTAAACTGTGTTCCAGAGGCTCTGAGTCCCAGCCAAGGTCCTGCAGAGCTGGCTGAATTTTTCCATTTAAAGCGTGTTCTCGTCCCCAGATGACTTTGCGCTGCACTGGCTGGCAGCAGCAGGTGCGTGAGTGCCGAGTCATGCCAGAGGGAAGGATCACAGAATAGAAATATTTCATCCTTCATGGCTTGGTATCCTAGAAAAGTATGGAATACCACTGCTGTTGCTCTACGTAATCTGAACCTATGAGGCCCTCCTCCATAGCACTGAGATAATACACCCAATGAGCTGTATCCCCAAGCACAGCTGATATTTCTCAGTTCAGTTTCAGTTTGCGTTTGTGAGTTATAAAGTGTTTAATCAACTTCAAATTCTTTACTATTGCCAGGAAAATGCTCACCTTGAAATTTCTGTGTGATTCTGTACAATCTCAGGTGCAATCTGGACACTTCTTATTCTTTTTTTTGATAGGAGTGACTTCTTCACTACATGATCTGTAAAAGCTTTACATGAGAAAAAATAAGTATTTCTAGTGTGTAAAAAAAAAAATACCTTTATGGGTCTTTTCTATTCAGGAAGGGTGTGACTGGCATGTTCAACATTATCTCATCACCGTTCTGACCTGTTAAACTTATTTTTACTGTGTTTTTGTAATAATGCCATGGGAATGTAGCAATTGTGAAACCAATGGCAACCATGAAATACCTTGACGATTCTATGCTAGTGAGCTGTGGAAATCAGAGCTGCTTGCCCTCTGTTTTTCTGTTGCCTATATTCTCAGCTGCTGCATTTAAAGAACGATTTCTTATATACTTGCATTCAGGTAAATGTAGAAATTACTCCAAAAATGGCAGTTACTCTAGGGGAAAAAACCTATCATGAGACTCGAGTGAACCCTAATCCAATACCTTTAATTTACTAGTGGGTAAGGTTTTTCTTCCAGTGATTCTTAGTGAAATGCTTCATGAAGGCATTGAAAGTTGGCGAAAAATACAGTCTTTCAGAATTTGGCTCCAACTGATTTTATACCTAGAAGCACAACTTGAAATGATCTTCTGCACTGGTTAATTAAATCCTCTGTTGTTAGCCACCAATTAGATGCATAAAATGACAAACCTTGTTAGCAGATTTTCTGGCCAAATACAGAGAGATCCCATATATCATTTTGACTACTTTGTATTTGGGCTCTTAAAGAATGTATGCAACTTGTCTAATGAAGTGTCTGTGTGTATGAGAGGAAAAAAAGAAATAGATTTTGGATCTCTCCCTTCTGTTGATCTGTCTGACTGTGTCTCTGTTCAGGGAGTGGGGTAAAATTCCCCTTTACATTTTTTTTTACTGTTTCTTGGACTCTTACCAGAAAGTTTTTACAGTCTGTTGCCTGCCTCTCAGATTAGAAGAACACTGGCATATTTTAACAGTTTCCTAGGATCCAAATAGTCTTTAATTAACAGGAAATTGATGTTTTGGAGTGCCACCAAAACATAGGAGACATTGAAAGGAGAGAATGAGTTTGGATCCTTCCAGCTTGTGGCAAGGGGCAAACAAATAGGCAAAATAGGGTCCACTGCAAGCAGGTAGCACCTTATTAGTATGCAAAGGGATTTCTTCATTTGCATTAGGTTCCCACAGAGCTGGTGGTTAGCTGGGAGGAGCTTTCTGCTGCACAGAGTCTGAATGAGCTCCACCCCTTGCAAAGAGCAGAAAGTCTTCATCGGTACCTTCCCACAAACAGAATTTTGGTGGCTGTTGAAATTATCTGGATTTTTAGATTCGTATCGATCAACTGTTGAGGTGACAAGGTATGTCATGTTTGTGAGGTTTATGTTGAAACTGCAGCTGTTGGCTTCGTGAGCGAGCATTTCATTAAAAAATCAGAAGTCTGCAAATGACATGACTTTTGCTGAGCTGAAGTTGTTGTTTTTCTTTTGGAGTAGTCTGCCTTTGTAGGGTTGAGCAACAGAGTAGGGGTGAAGCACTGAAGTTATATATAGGAGAATGAGACTAGCTGAAGCTCTAAAGGGACGTCAGATGTATGCTGGACTATTGTTCTAGACAATCCATGGAAATAAATGATCTGTGAGCTAATTTTTAAAATGATAGACTGACACCTGAAGCAATTACTGACAAAGAATTGTAACCAATAGTCACTGAGTCAGCTATGCTTTTTTCAGTAATGCAGTAATTTGTGGACTAATAAAAATGTATTTGTTTGATCCAATATTGGCTTTTCGATGTTGTTTTTTTTGTACTAGCTTCCCTCCCCCCAGTCACAGTACTTGCTGAATGCCTTCTGTCTCTTTGTACATGCAGGTGGCACATGCCAGAGCCCTGCTCTTCCAGCCCTAGTGCGTCCTCCTGCACCACCTTTGCAGCCATCGCTGGATATTAAACCGTTTCTTCCATTTCCTCTGGACACTGCTGCAGCAGTCAATCTCTTCCCCAACTTCAATGCAGTAAGTACACTCCTAACAGTTATGGTCCACCTCAGTGAGCCACAGCTTCCATGGAAGACTCAAGAGGGCACAAAGTAGAATTTTATGTACTCTATTAAAGCTGGAGTATCCTCTCCCTTACTGAGGGCCAAATAGCTCTTTCAGGCACACTGCTAGGCCATAAATTAAAGCCTACCTGAGTGTTAGTCAGAAGTAATGTAGGAGGAAAAAATTATATGATCCCAAGTGACACTCAAAAAAGTTTCAGGTCGTATTCATTCCCAGGGCTTGTGAGTTTCCCACTGTAATTTAGGACGTGAAGAGTTTTGCTAACTTACAGTTTGCTGCAACTCTCAGAGAGTGAAAGTTTCAGAGTGATGGTATTCTACATCTCATCTCCAACAGCATTCCTGAGAAATACTAAGAATTTACAGGGGCTACAAAAGCAAATGCTGTCAGGGCAATTAAAGTAAGAATGAGAACAGTGTTAGCTGGTATTTGAGGTATTCAATGAGAAACAATCCAGGGTATTTTTTTCAGGTTAAGATAGGTTATTTCTCAAGTCCTAGGTTTAAATCTATCTTAGAATATATTTCTCTTTAATATTTTTTTTTACTTAGTCATGCTAGGTATGATGATAGGAATCTTGTTCATCCTTAAGTATTTTAATTATGATGCTGACATATGTCATGAATGTTTCAATTTTCCTGTTTCTGTCTGAGATAATTAATACTCTAAAAGAAAAAAAAAACCTAGGTTGGTTTTATGTAAATTTTGACTTTATAGAATTATGCCCCTTTTTAATTTTATGTACTCTTAGAATTTTTTTTCCTTATTTACATATACTAGATATAGAAAAAAAAAAACCTTAAGAACATGTGTGCTTACCTACTTTGAGAGACACAAAGGGATTGGAATTTGTCATACCAAAACAATTCTAATTGATGTGCAGAAATCTTAATCTTAATCATGGTAATTAAGTTCTAAAAGAACTAGAATGGGTATTCTAGTAGCAATTTGTCATAATCAATAGCAGATTTCCATAACTAATTGTTCATTTTTTGCCTTTCATGAATGTTCACTTTTCTTTCAACTAGTTAAAATTAACTAATTGTCAAAACTATACAGTCTTGAATTCAAGTAATTCACAGCATTAATAAGGATCAGAGAAACTATAACTTCAACTCTTAAAATGCAGAGAAACAATGTTTTAAAGAATTGCTACTATAAAAAAACCTTTTCACATTTTAGAGAGTGCGTAGGTATGCAGCAAGGTTTTAAAAAGTGCTGGTTTTAACCAAGTTACTGATAACTCATAATGAAATGGATAAAACTTTAGACTTGTTTAGTGTGCTTTAGGGTTGGGGTCTTTTAACCAGTCGTGCTTTTTGATCACTGTTTGTAGTTAATGCAACCGGCTGAATTTTTAAAAGATGTCTACTAGAATTTCTGGTATTTTTTTCTCAGGATTTTCCATAGTTCAGAGTCTTCAGATCGATTTGCTCATTGTTTAACTCTACATAATTGAAATGGAATGTAATGATAAATTTTAATAATTGTTAATCTTTTGTTCTTCCATAAATTTCCACTGTCTTTCTTGTACAGACTGCTTGGCTACTCTAATTATTTTGAAGGAGGAGTGGAGAAGTCATGTTTGTATTAATTTGGAAGTAAGAAAGTAAAAATAGACTCGTATCTAAACCCTGTTATTCCTGAACATCATCTTAGTATCATATAACTTGGTATAAGCACTATTGTTGGACTTCATAGACTCATAATCTCTTCAGTTTTTCAGTAAAGTGAGCCTAGGTTTGAGGAGTGAGACTCACAGCCCTTTTAACAGCACTCCGAAGTCTGTTCTCATGCAAAGTATTGCTTCCTGTGATGTGTGTCCATCTGCCAAGTCCACCTTTGGCAAATATGTTGATCCTGAGCGTGAGGATGCTGTTAACAGAGCTGCCTTGCTGCTCATAGTCTTCACATTGCAAAGTGACTTTTGCCTTCTCATATGTGCTGACATGCAGCATCATCCTCAGTGTTCCCATTTTCTTTGTGAACAGTACATTATTGAATGCTGCTATGTTTAGCTCATATGCCAGAGCTGGTTAACGACAATCTACAAATGGATAGACTAACTGAGTAGTTTTGCGTATTTCCAGAAATTCTTTCCAAGCTGATGAAATTTTTGGGGGCACATCAGCTCCTGGGCATTATCAGCCCAAGGAGAAGGTAAACCAGGCGTCATATTAAACTTTAAACAGAATGTGTGACAGGGGTTTCAGTATGTGAATGTGAGACAGAAAACAAGTGTTTAATCAAAAAACGATCTTTGTAAATATGCTTGTTCATGAACAATTGCAGCTGTTGATAATGCTTTATCTTCATTGACTTCACTGACAATCCTACGCAGTATCAGTGGAGAATCATTTTTGCTTTATGGCTAAAACAAGATCAAGCAGGTGATCAGTAAAAGAATACCTGAACTGGAGGTTCTCTCTCGTATATTCAATAAATTAGCTTTACCCTTGATTGAGACATCAGGGTCATAGATTGCATCATAGGAAATGGATTTCTAAAGACCTCTTCACCCTAGTGCAATTTCACGGGAACTAATGAGTTTGGCAGCATGTCCAGACTACTTGCCAAGAGGCTAGAGTGCAGTCCAAAGTTCTGGCCATTTACTGGCCACTTTTCAACAACCTTCTTATGAAAACAACATGATCAAGATGAAACATGAGTAAAAATTGAGACATGTTTCAGAGACAATAAGCGGTCTCTCAGCTTGAGAGTTTGGTTGTTATAGACATAGGCATCTCAGCTAATCAGCCTAAGTTTCCTCACAAAATATAATGGAGAAAAATAATAAATTTCTCCAACATTTTACATGGAGAAAAATGCATCTTGCAGTACAATCACCCTATATGTATACTTTGGTGTGAGATGAAGTGAGCCCTGAAAGTCCTCATTCATCTCTTCTAACTATAATGAGGAATTGGCTCAGTTGCATCTGCATTAAGATGAATCCCACATTATGGACAGGTCACAAGCTATTCACAGCTCATATATTAAATTCCAGTCAGAAATCAGATGACAGAAGTGCTGACATTCTATTGTATGTTTACAGAGGAATGCTCTCATTTCAGTTATGGTTCTAATTTTATCTAAAGACAGTCTTAAGGGAATTTGAGGATTCAGATGAACTGGATAAAAATATTAGGAGAGGTGAAAGCAAAAGTAACTTACCAGTGGTGAATCTCAGACACATACATAGGAACTAATAGATAAAACCAAATAGTGATTTTAAGAATTGCAAAAAATAATAGTAAGGTGTATTTTATAACATTTTTACTCTATTTCAGTTTATTTTAAATATAAGATTACTTTCTTTGTTACTGATGATTTTGCTCTAAAACTAGCTCAGTTTTTGCTGGCTGCCTCTGAAGAAAACATTCAGCACTGGTTTCCACAAAGACAAAAACTTTCATCAAAGAAGAGACTAGAAGAGATAACATGGGGTATGCAAGCTTTTATCAGGAATATCTCCAGACACTGAGTAGAAGGAAAAGTAAAAAGTGAGTAACCTGAGAAATGTCAGGAAGATAACGTGAACCTTTGAACCATTCAGTTTCAGGAGGAATATTTTCTATTTATACAAGGAAGTATAAAGCAAACATAGCAATTAACAATCTGGTTAGCTGAAGGTTTGTAGGTGCTATGCTCTTAATTGTGAAGCAAATGGATACCCTTAAGTCACAAGTAAAAAGAAATCATAACAACACAGCTGTTTAAACTGAAAACAGCCCACTGCTGCAGACCCTGAAGAATCACAAGTTCATTGCAAGTTTATCTGATCTAAAAAGATGAATCGACTGTATGGGATTTAAATGGCTAAATTTTGTTGAAGGAGAGAAACTATGACTATAAACAATGCTTATGTAGCTTTTTAAAATATAATTTGAAGATTGTTGAGGAATGGAAAAATAATTAAATTGTTGTTCTGAAAAATATTTGAGATTGTTTAGCAAACACTTTTTATACTTCTGCATTTTCATCTGCAGAGGGAGAAGCTGTAAGCCTCTGTGTTTCTAGGAATTAGTTCTTGGAGATACAAAACTTTAGCATTTGTATTAAATATGGGTGAGTGCATGTGAATGTGCATATGTGGTGTTTCTGTTCATTGCAAAGAAATTTCACAAAGCATCAAAGTATAGAAGTTAATTAACTTGTAGGAAAATACTGGTATAAGGCTCTGATCTCTCTGATCTAAAAAGAAGTGTTTAATTTTGCAACACATCAACATCAACTCGAAGCTGATGGACCCTCCAATGGAAAAAAATCTCATGTAGATCTTTTTTGTAGTCTCCAAAGCACAGATACATCAGAAACCAGGTTTTGTTTATTTCTGAAGCTCTCAGAGTTATATATTTCAACCTCCCGAGAGATAGAATTTAAAGTTTAGAAATCCAAGACATTTGCCATTACAAGGTGGAAAATCAGACAACGCATTGCACTCCTTGTTTGTTTATTCTTTGAAGTATATGCTGACTGTTTTCCTGAAAAATTTCTAAAAGATATTTTATCACACTTTGTAGACTGTAGTATGAGCATAATCAGTAATGGAAGAGGTATACAATGTAGAAGATCTGAATAAATGCTTATAAGCAGAAAGAGTAATGTTGCTTGAAAAGCTCCCTCCCTAACTCTAAATTAAAGCCTTGTTGCCAGTGGAAAGGTTCCCAAATAAGCATCCTTTGGAAAGAAACATGTTTACAGTTTTGACTAGAAATGTATGACTTGGAAGAGCAGAGACAATGTCAGTAATCCTGGTTCAGTTCCCTGATTTTCCTGTTTGTTTGTTCTATGCCAATAGCACCAGGTGTAATATTAAGAGCTTCATATTTCACCTTCCTCTGGTAAAGGTTTACCATATGGGAAAGGAGGAGAAGTAAAGGGCGTCCACTGTGCATAGGTTATGGCACCAGTGGCAACTGATTAAAGTGCTAATGTGGTACTCCTTGCTT